AAGTGCGTGTGTGTGTGTGTGTGTGTGTGTGTCTATGTAAATGATACTGGCAAATATACATATTCATATAACATACCCAACTAGATCTATTTGGTGGGGAGAAGGGGTATGTTTCCTGTTCCGGCTTTAATGTGAGCAACAGCACGCACTGCCGCATGACACCTGGCTGCCGGACTATAAAGGGCAAAGCCGCCTTGTACCAAGTTGTTTTCCAAGCCTCCTGTACCTTAACTTCACCGTTAACTTGCTACGGTATTTGAAAAGCCCATTTCTCATTTCTCAAACACTAATACAGAACCTCAGGCACCTTCTCATCAACTTATACTAATTCTTCAACGAAGTGTCACAGAAAATGTGTGGGCTTTGATGTCAGGTCTGGGTATTAATGCCAGATCTTCCAATTGCTAATTGTGACACCTGAGGTAGGCAAGTTACTTAATCATTTTGTGACTCTCCTCATCTACACAAAGGGATAAAAACTCTGTCATATGTGGTGGCTGGGACTCAAAATGAAACAATGCATAAAAACTATCTGCTAATTGGGAAAAGCTGTCAATATTCTATTCCCCCAAAACATTTTTTCATGGAAAGAAAAAGAATTTCTCACTATTCAAAAAAAATTTCCAGTATTTCAAGATATTACCAGATAATAATTATGCAAATGTGATATGATGCCACAATCTTCTTCAAAGCTCTCCTTAATATTGGACTTGAAACAAAATTTCAGACACAAGCGATAATAAAAATATCTTTGTAATTATGAAGAATTTGAAAGTTCTGTTTAAGGCACTTTGACAGCTTAATTTCTCATGAACTATTGTTTCTTAAGTTAAAGGTTTAAGTTAAAAAAACACCTTGATTACTAGAGCAACACTATGAGGCAAAAACACAGTAAAAATACATCCAGTAACTGCTCCTGCTATTTCACCTAAAATCCATAGTAATAATTTACCTATTTTCAATTAAACATATGCACTAAAAGAGAATTTTAATGAGGAATCTAAATAATTTAACTAGTCAGAAAAAAAAATTACTAATCTGTTTAATGAGCAAGTAAATAAAATCAGAGCATTTTAGAGCCAAAAGAAACTTTAAAGATTATCTGATTAAACTTCTACCACAGGATTTGAAAGCTACTGAGTCATCAAAAGTTTGCATTAATGGGATCCTGTGCAAGCCTATTTGGCTTAAACGCAGAAAAATTTGTTAACTGTCAGAATACACTTTTTGACCACTGTACCCAGCTGCACTGTACAATCAGTCACAAGACAGACTACTTAGAAATGAAAGAACGCACAGAGTCTTTAGTCTTTTGTCAGCTGTATATGGCCTTCTAATGTCGTGCCTTTGTTGAACTTCCTAATGAAATTTCTACAAATGTTTAATGGTTTAGTCAGCTGAATTTTTAAATTTTAAATTAAAAAAATTAAAACCCATGAAGTTTATGAAATACAAAGCTGGCATATAGTTTAAAAGCTGTAACTATGAAACTGAGTGTCCATAATTCTAAAGGAGTTAGGGTTTGTTTGTTTTTTTTAACTTCTTGACTCCAGTCAGAGGATAATTGAGATGAGTCATTTAAGTAAGTGAGAATTTAGATTAGTTCTAAATTTAAGAAAACAAGATAAGGGAAGCAATAAACATTTCCTTCCAGGGAATCAGTCCAGTTCCAGTGGCTCTCAAAGATGGTCTTCAGATCAGCAGCATCAGCATTACCTGGGACCTCGCTAGAAACGCAAATTCTTGGGGCCCACCTTTGAGCTACAAAAGCAGAAACTCTGGGGATGGAGGCCAGAAATCAGTGTTTTAACAAGCCCTCCACGTGATTCTGATACATGCTAAAGTTTGAGAGCAACTGGTTTAGTTCATCAGGATGGAGAGCAAAGTAGATTTTCAGGGCAGAAAGAATCTGGATCTAAAGAGTATAAATTTCTCTAGAGTATACTTTGAGGTCTAGGTCTTCAGAATCTGAGTGTAGAAAATGGGTACAAAGTGACAAATTTAACAGTAGGCATGTCTATATAACTACATAATCTATAAAACCATGTAACACAAGAGTATTATATATGTGTAATACAGAATATGTAATATATAAAACTATGTGTTTGTATTGATCTTAATTTTTATCATAGTGAAAAGTAATAACAATATTTATGATTTACATATATAAACATTTTATTGTATATTTGTTTTTAACTCACTCTCATTTGAACAGACTTTGATTATCACTAACCCTATGAGGAAATCACACTAGGAATTACTGTCCTGTTATTGAGGCTTAAATAGGATGAGTGATTTTTCTAAGATACACCTGGCTAATGAGTAGCTGGAATTGAAATCCAAGATTCCTGAGGTCAAAATCAGGATCTTCCCCTGTATCATGTAGTACCATATTATCATCATGTGGAGTTTTTTCTGATTTCTTTTACTGTGGAAAAATACATATAAAATTGATTATGGGGGCACCTGGGTAGCTCAGTCGGTTAAGCTTCCGCCTTCAGCTCAGATCATGATCCCAGGATCCTGGGATCTAGCCCCAAGTTGCGCTCCCTGCTCAGTGGGGAGTCTGCTTCTCCCTCTCTCTTAGCCCTTCCCCCTAACTTGTGCTCTCTCATTCCCCCTATTTCAAATAAATCTTAAAAAAAAAATTACGTGTTTTAAAATAAACTATAAAAAGAGAAAAAGCATTATAATAAGAATAAAATATACAAAGATACTTTCACTCTAAACTATAAAAATCAACAGACACATTAATTATTTTCATAGATCTCTTCTGTCCTTTGAATTTAGCAGGTAACCTGCACATAACTTTCTTAGGGTAAGGGTACAAATCCTTGTGCCCCTTCATATTTCTCACTATGTAAATCTCAAGAAAATATGCCTTTAACAAAGGATGCAATCCTAAAACGAATACAGCAAAGATAATAAAGAACAGAGCTAAGTGCACTAGGAACAAGTACAGTATAAATAAATGCTCAGAAAATACATGAAAAGTTACTGAGAAACACAGATAAGTGTCAAGCTATTTCTACAACAGACCAACCTAGAGATTCTCTCCCTTTTATCATCTCAATGGTTAAAAGTACTCTTTAAAAATCTATTCCTGGCTTCTGAAAATATACTCTCGCAGGAAATGCACTTGGCAACTAGCTGACTCAGCAGAGCGCTAATCCATCTAATCTTAAAATTCAGTAAACATGCACACATCCCTTTCCACTGGTTCTTAAAGTTCCTCTCTTCCAAAACAACCTGCATTAGGATTTGAAAACTTCTTATTCTGCTCTAAAAAGATTACAGAGATTATTGAAGTGATTATTAAGCCCAGTCTAGAACTGATTTTATAATATGGCCCAGTGTGGATTCTGCATTAGAAATAATGTTTAACAAAAGCCAATGTCCAGTGTCATATTGTATGTCAATTATACCTCAGTTATAAAAAAGCCATTCTTAGTATTTTTTGAGAATTTACAAAAAGGTGGTAAATTAGTATTCAGAGCTATACAGCACACATGCCCTCTAGGAACTAACATTCTTTCATTCAAAATTTGAAAATAGTACGTATCAGCAAAACCTACACATGGCACTAGGGCTACTTTTTTTTTTTTGTTAAAGGTTTTATTTATTTGACAGAGAGAGACACAGTGAGAGAGGGAACACAAGCAGGGGGAGTGGGAGAGGGAGAAGCAGGCTTCCCGCTGAGCAGGGAGCCCGACGCGGGGCTCGATCCCAGGACCCTGGGACCATGGCCTGAGCCGAAGGCAGACGCTTAACAACTGAGCCACCCAGGCGCCCCGCACTAGGGCTACTTTAATCTCATCTTAATTTTATTATAATTTTCTACAACTTTTTCCTCAAAAAAGGCATGAATAGTATGAACACAAGTATGACACTATGCATTTCTAGTTGTCCATCATTAAGGGACTTGCTAAGTAAAATGAAGGTATATTCATTCCATAGAGTACTATACCACTCTCAATACTGATATGGAATGATTTCCAAAATGAAGTGCAAAACAAAACAAGGTGCAGAACAGCTTATATAATATACTTATCTTCTGTTAAGATAGGGAAGGGAACTCCTACAGTATGTAAAATTACTTGTGTGTCTGAAGAATATTTCTGGAATGATGCGTAAGTAACTAGTAACACTGAATATATCTAGGAAGGGGAAGTGGGTGGTTGGAGGATAAAGGTGTGAGGGAGTATTTTCTCTGTATGTTATCTTTGCCTTTTGAATTATGTACCATGTCCAAGTATCATTTATTCAAGAAAAAAAAAACTCCTTCTTTTGATATTCCCTATGTTGTATGGCTAATTCTTAATTTTCTAAGCTCATTACTTCCTTCCTGGCATTGTATAATCAATATATAATGATATTTTTTCAAATCAAATCAATACCCACTTAGCAGTGGGTCCCTAAGCTACATGGTTTCTATGTGCCTTTATTTATGACAGCTTTTTTTTTTTTTTTAATATTTTATTTATTTATCTGACAGAGAGAGACACAGCAAGAGAGGGAACACAAGCAGGGGGAGTGGGAGAGGGAGAAGCAGGGTTCCTGCCGAGCAGGGAGCCTGATGCGGGGCTCGATCCCAGGACCCTGGGACCATGACCTGAGCTGAAGGCAGCCGCTTAACTGACAGCCACCCAGGTGCCCCTATGACAGCTTTTAAAAGAACATTAAAATGAGATTGCCTGCAGATTCCAAAACTGCTACGTGGAAACAAAGTTGAGATCTAAAAATATTTTCAAATTACACCATAGGATAAACCTGTAGTTAATACTTTTTCTCAATAAAAAAGGTTATCTTAGAACTAAAGTTTTGTGTCACCTTTAAGTCACATTCCTATATGATTATGAAGACCCATTAATTCACCATGAAAAGCATATTAGGATGAACAGGTATGTTTTATAAATTCACCGAATAAACGTTATGTGCATATTGTTTCTCATGAAGAAAAAAGGAGAATAAAACTGAAACAAATACATCCACATTCCTACCTTCAAAAATCTCTCATTGGTCAATAGTGCAACTTGCTTTTCTGAAGCTTGCTTTTCCACGAACCTAGAATTTTCACCATCCCATACACAAAGAGAGAAAATTAAACATACTAAAGATCTGAATATCATATGGGGAAAAGAACTACTTAGATCGGTGGTCACATTCCTGCATTTCTTCTCAAAAATAAGCTCCAGATAACAGTCATGGTTTAATGGTAATTTTTAACTCCTTAAATCAGCTATACCACATAATCTAGGGATCTAATCATAAACAAAAGCCGTAAATTCCAGAATCAGGAAATGTTATTTATAAATAAGTAACTCTGGAGAACCTGCAAATTATGTCCCTTTGTAAAAATATTTTTCTTTATGCTAAATTTTCAAGTCCAACAAAGAAATCTCACAATTGAAAACAGAGGATTTCATTGTGCTCTAAATAAAAAGGTTTTTTTTTCTTTCCCCACTTCAAAAATAGCTAGATCTGAGATCCTTTATTTTACCCCAACCTCTATTATAAGATGTGTTAAATATGCACTTCTCCTTTTACCTCCTAAACGATGGAAGACGTCGGATGTTTTCACACTGATTATCTGATAAAAAATTTATTCTTCTCTTGGCTTCTGGGAGATTACAGCACAGAACACTGAGGGGCTGGGAATAGAAATGTTCTAATAGAGAAAGCTGAAAGAAATGTGAAGATAAAAAAATGTGAAGATTAAATGTATTTGTTATATTTTGGCAGTAATCTTTTGCCCTTTGTCTACTCAGTTTTAAGGTTTTGGGTTTTTTTAAACAGTAAAAGTATGGCACTAATACATTTAATAACATCACAATAACACTGCAAACAATGCAAAATGGTTCTGTATCTTTAATATTTTAAGACTCTGATTTTGTGGGCAAGGTCAGAAAATTGTAATCTCTGAAGTATATAAACCAGAAGAAACTAATATTAATGGATAGATTAGCTCTCTACAGAAGCAACTCACTTACAATAACAGTAAATATTGTGGGGAAGGGATTGGGGTATGACCTCAGAGTCTAACAGATGCCCAAATACTCACAAGAAAACACCCATCTAAAATCAGTGAAAAAATATGGTCTGCTGAATAAATAAAAATGTTACAATGGTAGAAGCTTTGTCTACTGATAAAAAAGAATAATGAAAAATGAGGGATGGCTAAAGAAAATATATCTTTTTAAACCGAGTTTTATTTCACGAGAAAAACACAGTACAGTATCTGATAAATTTAAGTGTCATAGTAACTAGGATGCTGTGGTCTCTACAGTACGAGGGGGAATGGTTTTCCAAATTCTACCATAACTCATAAGATCTATCTCACAAGACTATCCAAATGTTAAAAACTCTGACTCTAAGCAACCTTCTCATGGCCAATTTGGTTTAGTTTCTAGATACCTTGATACTGGAGAGACAGTTCCCTAGATAGTGGACAAACACATTCTTGGACTGGAAAATAGAATTTCCCATTACAAATGAATAAATTAACATGCTGGCTTATATATCAGTATTAAGGTATTTGAGCTCGATCCTTTCTGGGTAAACTGATAATGAATTTCTGAGCCGATAGAGCTGAGGACCAGATACCCAAGGCTAGAGGAAATCCTCTAAAATAGTTCATTCTGGAGGAAGTATAAGGTTGTAAGGCAAACAGCCAGCCTAGCTTAGAAACAAATACCAAACAGAAAGTAACTGTTCATGCCAAGTGCTAAATTATTTTTGCACATATTAACAAAATCTCATTTCTTACTTATATTTTCCAATTATATTGTGATAATATTCCAGTGTTAATACCACTTTTTAAACATCAGAAAAGTAAAAACCAAACATGATAAGGGACTTGCTGGGGAGGAGGAATGGGAGGAAGTCACATGAGTTATAGTAGAGCTGTAAGGAAGAATCTAGTACCACTTCACTACTTTGTCCAAGTGTGTTCTCAAAATCCTGGGTCAGCTAACAAGTTGGTTAACATATTCATCTAATGAAAGAAACAAACATATACAGAATGATTATATGCCCTACTGTTCCTCCTAAAGAAATCAGGACTTACACATATTTCCTACTGATGATTAAGAAAACTGGCCAAATGGGGTCTTAATGGCTCTACCACTTATTAGCTGTGTGACCCTGGCCAAGCTACTTAACACAAGCCTGTTTCTTCCCCTGTGAAACTCAGGATAATAGTACCTATTAATGAAATAATGTAAATACTTAGTAATGTGCCCAGTATACAATGGAGGTGCTTAGTAAATTATGAGGAACCTATAAAATCATCTAATATGATCCCCTATTTTATAGATGAGAAAACTGAGACCCAGAGAGATTACATAATTTGGTTATAATGTCCTCTTCTTCACTCACTTTCTCAATGCTGAGACTACAGTTTCTATTTCCTAAAACTCTTCTCCTGACTTCAGTGTTACTCTGCTTTCTATTGGTTTTCCTTATTTAGTCTCCTTTTCTATTGCTCTCTCATCAGCTTGCCGTCAAGTTCTAATCTTAGTCCTTTCCTCACGCCTCTGGGTGATGCCTCATCCTCATTGTGTGACTTCACCTACCACCTTTTAATGATAAATCCTAAATATATCTATTTGTCCCAGATCTTTCTTCTAAGTGCCAAATCTTTATATCCAACATACCCAAAGTTAACCATATACAAAAAGAAACTCATCCTTTTCTAACTGGTTCTTGGCTTTATATTAACATGTATACTTAATAAATGGTACCAACCTCCAATCCATTTGCCAAGCTAGAACCTGTGTGTCACCTATGCTCCTCTCTGCCACATCCTATCATCCACTTGGTCACCAGGTTCTGTCGATTCTAGCTCATCCTCAAATCTAGTTTCCTCCTCTCTAGTTCCACTATCACTACCTTAGGTTAGCCCTTGTTATATCTTGTCTAGAACACTGCAATAGTCCTCAAACAGATCTCTCTCCCTCTACTGTTGCCTTTACCTAGAATGCACTTCCCATTTTAACCTGGTGAGCCCCTATTCCTTAGGCTATACTTCTGTTCTCCTATGGAATGTCCATGCATGTTTCTTTCACAGTATTGACTATTGAGAGCTGTAATTATGAGTTTCCTCTTCTGTCTCCTTCACTAAACAAATGAGCAATTTGAAGACCGAGATTTCCTTGTCCTCTGTATCTCCAGGACTCAGCATAGTTCTTGGCTTACAGTAGGCTCTTCATACTTTTGAGTAAATAAATGAATGAAATAAAATGTTATGAGAGAGGCAAATGTAGTATATCTCTCTATCACTGAATTTCACATATTGCTAAGGTAAATATTTTGCTGCTTTAAAATACTCTTTTTTAAAAAGTCAAGTTGAGGGGTGCCTGGGTGGCTGAGTCAGTTGAGCATCTGACTCTTGATTTTGGTTCAGGTCATTATCTCAGGGTCCTGGGATCAAGCCCCACGTTGTTGGGATCCCCACTCAGCAGGGAGTCTACTTGTCTCCTTCTCCCTCTGCCCTTCCCCCTGCTCTCATGCACGCACACACACTCTCTCTCTCACAGATAAACTTTAAAAAAAAAAGTTAAGTTGAAAAAAAAATACATAGTAGCCATAAGAGAGCACTGCAGTTTTATATGGAGGAAAAATACATGTGAGAAATAATTTATAAACTCTAAGGCACTATACAAATGTGAGGTATTATCATACTGTACTTTTGTTTTAGGGACTTGTTTTTGTCAAGTTTTAGGGAACTTGACAATTGGCATGTATTTACAATGACTACACTTTGCTAAGGTATTTTAGGTAGTTGCCAAGACAAGGAATATTAACTTTTAAATAACTGGATAATGGGATTCTTTTTTGGATTAGAACAGATGTTATGAAGCTGAGCTCATGAATTTTCTTCTGGCAATTCATGAAACCTTAGTAAAAATGTATTCCCAATATATAAGAATATAAATGAATAAACACACAAATATGTGCAAGGGACAGCAAACAATGGCCCCCACCTATTTTTGTATGACCCAGGAACTAAAAATGGTTTTCATATCTTTAACTGGTTATTTAAAAAGAAGAAAAAGAGTATGCAACAAGAGTTGTAGCATGCAGAGTCAAAAACATTTAATATCTGATCCTTCACAGAAAGTTTGCTGATCCCTTACATATAGCATTTCTTAGGTAGAAAGTATGTAAGCTTTCATCAGAATCTTAAAAAAAAAAAAATGTCCCTTTCTCCCTACCCCCAAATATTAAGAATCACTGGAATGCAAGGGGACGGAGGGTATCTTTTTCCATTTTTTGACATCCTAATTAATGTAATTCTCTGTATTTTGCTGCAAGGTAACAAAGGAATGATAGAATCTAGAATAATATAACTTGAATTTACTTATTTTAGATTTTGCCATTTAAAATGCCTTATCACATTAAATAGTTTGAATATGCAAATTAATGCAAATTATTTAGAATCAGCTCATGAACTTTCACACCCATTAGTGTCTTCTTACCTGAAGTCCTTTTATAAAGTTTTGAATTGAGAAATCATGATACAAAAAGATGTTGGTCAGAATCTGTAACACTTTTTCACTTAGTTTAAAGGGAAACTGGGTTGTAAGAAGTAGCTGAAAGAGACAAAAGGGGGAAGGATCCACTCATTAGTCTTTCTTTACTCTTCATCAATAGCAAGTATACATATGGAGGCAAAGAATGATACTATGACATATAACTATGAAAGCTATAATAGTAGCTAAGTTTTTTTTAGATCAAATATCAACCAAAACTTTAATTTATACAAGTCACAACCAAAAAAAGTTAGTCATACATCTCCAGAATCAAAGATATCCATCATCTTCCACCCAATTGCTAATTTAAAAAAATACAATCTATTAACTATATGATCCCTTTTCTCCTACCAGAAGCCACTGAAGAAGCTATAGGTTTTGGCAATTCTTATTATCAGATAAGATTTCTTTTTCATCCCTACTGATACACATTACCGAAGAACACATTATGTACTTCTGAATGAAAAACCCCAAAATAACAGATGTCTATTTAAAAAGTATAAAACAGCTGAATTTGTATTATTCAGCTAATTTTCAATGGCCTATAGTGAAGAATTTACATCTGAAAATGAAAAGTCATCCTAGGCTTTTAAAACAGAAATACAGATATAGAAGGCCAAATGCATTTGGCCACAACCAATTTCATTTTTTTTTAAGATTATTTATTTGAGAGAGAGAGAGCAAGTGAGAGCGTAGGAAGGAGGGGCAGAGAGAGAGGGAGAGAGAATCCCAAGTAGATGCCACACAGAGCGCAGAGCCTGACGCGGGGCTGGATCCCATGAGATCACCACCTGAGCTGAAACCAAGAGTCAGAAGCTTAACCAACTACACCACCCAGGCACCCCAACCAAGCAATTTTAAATACTGTAGCTGCAAAATTTTCCCCAAAGTATCAGTAAACTAATGGATACCACCTTCATGGGAAAAAGATGAAGAACCTTGGAAGGTTGTCAGCCACCTGGGTGGCTCAGTCAGTTAAGTGTCTGCCTTTGGCTCAGGTCATGATCTCTGGGTCCTGGGATTGAGTTCCACATCGGGCTCCCTGCTCAGCAGGAACTCTGCTTCTCCCTCTGCCTCTGCCCCTTCCCCCCTGCTTGTGAGCTCTCTTGCTCTCTCTTTCTCTCTCAAATAAATAAATAAAAATCTTTAAAAAAAAAAAAATGGAGGGTTGTCATTAGTTTACCTTCACAAGCAGCATAAGGCACACCTACAAAGAGCTGACTCTAGCAAACAATTTGTGGAAGGTCATTACTTATTTATGTAGAAACACAGAACTAATACTAA